GGAATTTTTTTTCAAATTGTAAAAAAATATTATTTTACTTTCAATCATTTTTATTACCAACATATAGAGATATTCTATTTTGAAATAAATAAAAGTTATATATAATTTTGATCGTTTTTGACATCTACTATATATCTAAATTTTTAAAGTATAAAAAAAATACAATTTTTTGTTATATATTTATATATAACATTATATATTAAAAAATTGAAAAGATAAATGGTAAATATAAGAAATCAAGATAAGAAATAAGTGTCGAAAAAGACAGAAACATACAGTTTTATAAACGAGAAACGGAGCAAGAGACAATTATGTAAATGTAACACTCGCCAGAGGGATTCGAGGCTTCTTGGAATTGAAATGTGGTAGTTAAAACGAGTTGTGAATTGTTTGTTGCCCTTTAGCGATACCACAATTTGCAAGCAAACAGCCCATTAAGCTGAAGTTGCCATAGCCTCTACCTTTATACGGTGAATAGGTGTTGCGACCCCTTCGCTGGAATAAATCTACCGAAAGCGACGTTCACTTCCACCATATCCAACTACTATAGTTGTATATTTGTCTTATATAAAGAAAAGAGTGTCGATATATTAAATTGACAATATTTTCAAACACATTGTACTATATTTTAATAATTTTTGATCATCGCTTTTACATACAACATTTAAGTAATATCATTTTCATTTTGTAAAATTTTTGAATATTCAATTTCTTTAAAGATGAATTTAATAAATATATCATGCATATTTTTGCATAATATCGCTATTGAATATCAATGTCGTGATTATGATATCATCTATTGAAATATGATTCAAAGATGATAAGCTGAATCGATCCATTGTTTATCGGTTTTTTCTCATCGCATCAAATGATATGATGTCTAAGCTAATTTAGATGAGAATTGTCTCATTGTTCGTTTACTTTTAATAACAGGAAAGTTCCAGAAGAAATTAATATACGTACGAGGATACGTAACAAATGTAGATTATAAATTCACTTGAAAAAAAAAAAAAAAAAAAAAAAAGACAACTTTCAATGTTCAAGAAAGAAAAAATCGATAGAAAGATATAGAGAGAAACGTAGAACGAATCTCCGCGTGATTTTTTGATCTGGTCGCACTTATCGTATTTTCAGAGTGATTATACGCCCGTGGATATCGGGGAAGCCGTGGAAGAAAAGGGAAAAGGTTGGCCGGAGAAGAGAGGGCGGATTCGCGTTTTCGCGGGTTATTTTATGCAACCCGCTATGCATCCGTTACGTATAAATGCAGAGACGCGGCCCGATTTGCAGTTGCACAGCAGGCTCGTTGCAAGCGCGGTTGATTCCGCGTTGATTCAGGCCGTATTCAGTGCATCGAGTCCCGCGATGAAAAGGCGTTCCGCTTTCTGAATATATTCCAATTAAAAAGTCGGAGCTTCGTTACACTCGGCTCTGCCCGCGTGCACTCTACACCCTGCACCCTGCACCCTGCGCCTTCTACCCACTAGTTCAGCCTTTCTCTTTCCCTTTCTCTAACCTTCTCTCTTTCCCTGCTCATCCTTCCTTCTCGCGAGATCCATCTTTACCTCCCCCGCAGCCAACCTCGTCACACCCGACTCCTTTTACTTCTGCTTTTTGCCTTCCACCAACGGAGCCACGATCCCTTTTCGCTACTGCTGTGCAGTCAGCCATCCTGGCTTCCCTCACTTTCTTCCACTCTCCCTCTCTCCACCAGTTTCTCCACAGCAATTACTCCGCCGCTTTTTTCCTAAAGAATTAGAAATGCCCAGACTCACCAAGCTTTCTTCGTTCTTTCGCTCCTCCTTTGGGGCGTTCGCCTCGCCCCTTTGCCCGTCCTTGATTATCGGTATCCGCGCCTACTCCTTACCTTCGAATTTTAAACGAGACTTCCCTCTTTTCAAACGGATCTTTTCTCTCATCTCGATGATTTTGATTTTAACCGTCGAGTAACATCCTATCTATAAGATATCCTAGTAAGTACTTATATAAGTGTTTAAAAAAGAAAAGAAAAAAAGAAAAAAAAGAAATAAATTTTTTCTCTAAAAATTTTTCCTTTCTTGCCACCTGAGTTCTTGAATGGTAACAACGGAATTGTTAATTACCGATCGAGAAACGCGTGGAAACCATACGGCGAGTATACGTGTGAAAACGATCCGTTTGTGAAGAGAATCCTAGGGCGTGGATCTTTCAAAAGTATATAGGTATAGGAACGATTTCGAAGGGATGCCCCCCCGTGAAGTATTTAACGATGCTGTTCTCGGTCGGGTAAGAGGGAGACGCGCATCATAAACTGAAGAGGGATAAGAAGCGCGTGTCCAAGTGCCAACACGACTTACGCACGTATGCACGCGCGTCCACGGTTATTCGCTCAATGACAATACGCACGTGGCCGAGTGCACGCGACGCCACTTCTCTTCCATCCCAGGATATCTCGTTCGAGTCTTTTCCTGAGCGATTCTCGGGATTTATCTTGGGGGATCTTTGATCGTTTCAATCATTACAATTCAATAGCATATATATACGACTTGAATCATTTATCGATTGGTAAATTACAGCCGTTTACACGATTGAAATGCATTCGAATGTGATATGAGATATCGTATCTGTCTATACGTGTATATTCTACGTATAATACGGTAATTTTATTGAGTCAATTTTTCAGTTTATTCGATCATTTAATTATAAAATTCGATCATTAACTGTAAAGTGAAGAAATATTTGGATTTTTGTAGCATCTAGAGTTTTGGTAAGTGTGTATGCACACGGATGATCGAATCTTTAGAGCATCTAAATAGTGTACTTTAAAGCATAAAAATAATTTTTATTTCTTAAATCTATCTTTTAATATAGTGATGTAAAATGGTTAAATATTTTTAATATGTAAAGCAGTTTACGATTTGTTTTATATATATATATTTGTATATAATATAAAAATTATATAAGTAAAATATGTAAATAGAAATAAGAAATTGAATTCAATTATATAATTATAATGGTTCGTACATGCTCTATGTAAATATTTATTGCATTTTCTATTATTTTATTACAAGAATGTAATGTAAAAAAGAAAATATTGATATGAATTTGTATAAAAAATAAAATTAATAAATCTATAGTAAATTTTAAAAAAAAAAGGGTATACATTTATATATAAATACAAATTGTAACATCATTTTTAAATTATTTCGAAAATATAGATTCCGATTTTTGATAAACAATATATGTATAAATACTTAAATAAATACATAACTCATTTCAATATCACTAATATAAAAATTGAAATATTCATTTTAATTTCGAAATATATTATAAGATTAAATCTCTTGTTATAAATAAATGCATTATTCCCATTCTTCTTTTTTTAAATATATATTTATTACCTGCCAATTACGAGAAAGGTGAATATAAATTATACCAAATCTGAGATTGCTTAAATTCCTTTCCTTTTCTATATATTTGATATATTCTCTCTTTACATTATAATTATTAATGTAACAAATCAACTCAATCGATATCGCATAACAATACATCGTTCCCCAATTTCCCTTAAAACTCATCAACGATTCTCGAAAAAATTTGTCGTATGTAATTTTTCAAAGATTATTTTTTTTTTTGAAAAAGATCCGTGACCACTCCGCGATACTCGAGAACGCTCAAGAAGTCGCGTTAAAAAGACTAAAATTAGAAGCGTTCGCGAAGGGAACGAGGGACAATAACGTGCGACGAAGAAAATTATTACGAATAATATGCGATTCATCATAGCGAGGTAATTACGCGTGGGGGATTCTCCGTTATCGTGCCACGGCACGATTACTTCTCTCTCCGTAAAGAATTTGAAAGGAGATGAGAAAGGGGGGAGGGACGAGTGTCGCAAGAATTTCTTCCTTCACTCGCGTGATTTCACGCTTGGCAAGTTGTTTTTTCTTTTTTTTTTTTATTATTATTCGAGGACCAGACACGAAGAGTAGTTTCCCTTTTTTACTTCATCCCGAATGAATTCGAAAGGAGTGTTTTCCCCGTTCTTTCTTCCCCCTCCTCTCCTCCTCTCTTTCTTCATCGTTCTGAAGAGGATGTCGTCGACTCGTCGCAACAATTTCTTCTTATCAAACGGCAGAGGAGGGGGGGACGTGTTCCCCACGAACTTCCTTTTAACTTTCCACGCGTCTTTTCCCCCAATTATGACCCCATTCATTTTTCTGGAACACACCGGAAACGGGAGATCGATCTTGAAGGAAGGAGTCAAAGAGGAACTGTTGTGTTTCAGAGGGAACACAATTTCACGTTGAGTGCTTTTTCACTTAAAAAAAAGGAAGAAAGAAATTACGTGTTGCACGCGAAAGGAAAGTGATTAACGAAAAGTCGTTAACGCGAGTTCATTCGAAATTCGCTTAATGCAGTCTAATCACCCGTGTAAAGAGATCGTGCACTTTTCTCGTTATTCTCTTCCTGATTTCTTTTATTCCTCCCTTCCTCTCTCTCTCTCTCTCTCTCTCTCTCTCTTTTCTTCTCCAATTAACAAACGACCGGAGTCCACGACCGGAAGAAAAGAAAAAAAATCATCGTGACAATTGCTTCACCGTGTATCTCTTTTCCTTCCTCTTCTCCTCCTTCTCTCGCACGCGATCCGACACGTTGCTTCGTCTCGCTTTTTCTCGTCGATTCCGTTCAATTAAATCCGTCAGCCAATTCCAGCCACGAGTGGCACCGGTACTCGACTTGTATCGGTTTCAGCCAATTACTTTCCGCCGGGGCTGTTGCGAAACGCTGTTTCTGGCCACGTGCCCATTGTCACGCGCGAATTGGTCTTCTTCGATACTGGCTCGTTACCGATTTTTTTTGTTTTCTAAATAAAAAAGAAAAAAAGAAGAGAAAGATAGATTTAGCCACCACGTGAAGAAGGGAAATCGATCTCTTAAAAAAAGTAAAATGAAAATGTAAATGAAGTAACGAAAGTGGAGAAAAATTTGGATAGATATATATATAAATTGAAGAGGATTAATCACAAGATGTTCAGTTTTTCTGTTCTGATAATAATTTATTTTATCTACAAGAATTCTTCGGTTGACGAAAATTCGCCGACTAACTGGAGAAAGTAAAACCATGTGCGTTGGCAAACTATAATCTCTAAAAAAAAAAAAAAAAAACACGCGGTTCATCTCGTAGCAATTCTCCTTCTTCGACCCTTTACAATTACCCTAAGGAGCCTATGACACATCTACGAATTCGACTATCGACTAGACTCTTAGTCCTTAGTTCCTTTCAAGGAACACGCAACTCTCTCTTTCGCCTAAATTAATACAAACAACAAGCGAAAACTCACGAACGATTAAAAAATTAATCCCTTACATACCCCAATTCCTCGTGAAGAGAACAAAGAAAAAGAAACTACGACTATCAACCTCATTCGTAATAATTACATATGTACACTGTCTCGCATGCAGATAAATAAACACTGGAGAAACAACTCCATCACCATCCCTCAGCCTCGCGACATCTCCAAAACTATCTCTCCCTTCGCTCCGTTTACATTTCCACGCACTTCACTGTGTGCCGTAGGCAGCGCGGATCCCTTATTCGCGACACGAACGACCACCACCCGTGAATTGGACGCGCGTCGATTAATTCGTCGACGAGCGACAAGAACAACAACAACAAAAACCATCGCGAGTGTAACGAGTTCAACGAGATCTAGAATTCGCGAGTAGATTCGCTTGTCGATCGTCCCGGTCTGTGCTTCGTCCCCGTTCGAGGGGGATGCGATGAAGGGAGGGTGGCCCCCAATGCCGGCGGCCGGAAAGCAGAAACCTGGATCCTGGAACCGCGGCGTGACGCCGGGTTAGAGGGGGCATCCGTGGACGTAGGTGACGTTCCGGAAGAGGGCCGCGGCCGTCGAGAGGAACGCGGCCGTCGAGGCGGTGGA